GAGTGGTTTTTTTTATGTTTTAATGACATTAAAAGAAGTACAGAGAATGAAAAAAAAGGATACACCAGGGGAAAAGGGGAAGGAAGGATGGGTAGCTTAGTATCTCATGTAATCAGGGTGCACAAGTACATGTCTATAGGAAGGCGTAAGGGTTTGGGGAATGTGAATCCCCTGAACCTCACATCTATCAGAACTGGTCAAATGAGGGTAGAAAACACACATACACACATCATTTGGTGAAAAAGTACAATTCACAACAAATAAATAAGAAATAAAAGATATTTGGAGAAACTATTTTACCAAATTATATGCCAATAAAACTAACAGCTTAAATTAAATAGATGAATATTTACAAAAATATTAAATTCCTAGGTTAATAGAATAAGAAATAGAGGATTTAAACAAGCCAATGGATTTAGAAGTGAATTATAGTAAACAAAGAACCATTAATCTGAATATTGCACAAACTATTAGCAAAAATAGTAAAAGAAGGGATCCTACCAAATTCTTCCTATGATACCTAAACCAAGGTGAGCCGAAACAGAGAAATGATCACCCACGCAAAAAATTTTAACAAAAATATTAGCAAAGAGGCTACAAGTAACACAACATAAAAATCATATACTATGGCCAGGTTGGATTTATAATAGAAATACAGAGTTGATTAATGTTAGGAATATTATAAACACAATTAACCATATTGATAAAAAGAACAGAAGCAGTATAATTATACAGTAGATGGAGAAAAAGATGGAGCTTTTGATAAAATACAATTCTTATTTCTGTTAAGACAAAACATTAGAAAACAGGATGAAATAGTCCTTTCTTTAACATGGTAGATAGTATCTATCTAAAACTAAGAGCCAGCATCATATATAATGGAAGCAAAACTAGATTTCAGTAAGTTCAGATGAAAAAGGCAAGGATGTCCATTATCCCCACCATTCTTCAACATACTGCTAGAAATGTTGGCTAAGACAAGGGAAAAAAATGAGGAAATAAGCATAAGCAAAGGAGAAATCACTTTTTTTTTTTCCAGAGGCTATGATGATGTTTTTAGAGAACTCTAGAGGATCAACTAAAAATTAAGTTAAACAGTAAGTTCAGACAAGGTCAAGGATATAGTCAGTCAATAAGTACTCATTATGTGCCTACTGTGTACCACACACTGTACTAAGTGTTGAGGATATAAAAAGAAGGGAACGACAATCCTTGTCCTCAAGGAGCTCACGATCTAATTGGGGAGACAACAAGCAAACAAATATGTAGAAATAAGTTAAATACAGGATAAGTAGAAAATAATTAATAGAGGGAAGGCAATTAAGAGGAAGTGAGGATGGCTTTCTGTAGAAGGTCGGATTTTAGTTGGGACTTAATGAAGCCAGGGAAGTCAGGAGGCAAAGATGAAGAGGGAGAATATTCCAGGCATGGCAGAGAGCCAGAGAAAATGCCTGGAGTTGAAAGATGGCTGTCTTACTCATGGAACAGCAAGCAGCCCAGGCCAGTGTCAGACTCAAGAGTATGTGGCAGTGAGTAAGGTGTAACAAGATTAGAAAGGTAGCCTGGGATGGGGGGGATGGAGATGTTCATATGGGTAGGTTATGAAGGGCTTTGAATATCAAACAATGATCTCATTTCATATTGTCTTCTCCAGCATATTGCCTCCTTTATACTCATTCTCCCTCACTTTTTTTTTGTTTGTTTTTTTGGTTAGGCAATTGAGGTTAAGTGACTTGCCCAGGGTCACACAGCTAGTAAGTGCCAAGTGTTTGGTCTGAGGCCGGATTTGAACTCAGGTCCTCCTGACTTCAGAGCCGGTGCTCTATCCACTGTGCCACCTAGCTGCCCCTCTCTCACTTATTTTCAATCTCTCCCCATCAACTGGTTGCGCTCCTGCTGCCTACAAATATGCTCATATTTCATTCATCCTCAAAAACCTCTCACTTGATCCATCCTTCCCCACTATCATCCTGTATGTCTCCTGCTTTTTGTGGCTAAATTCCTTGAGAAAACTGTTATAGCAAAGGCTGTCTCAATTTAGTTCTCAGGGATGCTCAAGTAGATACAGCTTTAATGTTTCCTCTGCTCCATCCTTCTGCAAAGGATTGCAATTCCTTCCAGGAGGAGAAGAAGGTTAGGGCCAGAGAAGGTCCCTCTGCTTTCCTAAGAAAGAAGGGATACTAGGCCATAATTACATTTACTCTATTAAATATTATTAGTCTACAGGATGCGATTTTCAGGTTCAAGCTAAACTCCTGACGGCTATTTCTTAATGAGAAAGGGGCATTCCAAGCTTTATACCTATGGCTTGACTCTCTCCCCACCCAATGCCAGTTCTACAACGAACACACATAGCAAACAGGAAACCCATTTATCCAAGTTGATAGCATAACAGAAATCAGATAATACAAGATAATATATACTTAAACAATACAGATTGAAGGAGCTTTTCTTTGGGAATGAGATATTTTAGCTTAACCAAGAGAGAGAGCCCCAGATTTTACCCAAAAGGGATATTTCACTGACGACTCTATTGTAGCAAGATGGAGAAATGAACATGATGGAAATTGCCAGCTATTCTTATCGGCTTCCTCCCATAGTCTCCTCTCAGCAACCTGAGGTTGGGTTGGCATTGTCCACCTTTTCTTTCCAAGATGGAAGCCAGAGGAGCCTGAAAAGAGGCACGTGATGGAATTTCTCTTCTCTCCCCTCTTTCCAACTTGGCCCACTTCTCTTTTAGGGGCAGGATATTGATCTCCACCAGTGAGGATAGAGTCTTATACAACTGGCCCTTTGAGTCAAGGTTAAATAAAGAACAGGATAGTGAAAGAGGAGTATGCTTAACACTAATGATGTATAATTGATACAATATTCTTCCACTTCATTGATCTCTTTCCCTCAATCAGTCCCCTATCACAGGTTCCTTTCTTTTGTTTCCTCTTCAAATACCCACATTCTAAAGATAGTTCTTCTGACTTATTACTAATCCTTCTATGAATCAGACCCCTCTCTTAATCCCTACTTTTTCTCTGTTCCTGCCTGTTTTTCTCTTCTCTCTTTTTGCTAGTGAGTTTAAATTGATTTCTGCACTTAATTCTTTGTGCCTATCTGTAGGTGTGTTCAAACTTCCTTTGTCTGGTTCAGACACATGTAAGATTCATGTATAGCCTGCCTATAAACCTTGATTACATGTTTGTATAGTTTTTTTGCACTCTGATTATATGAGGAAGTTTCATCTTATTCTTTGCACTTTCTTTCCTAGTATATTCCTATTTTTCTTTCTCTTTTCTTTCTTCTCTTAAGATCATCAGACAAAACCACTTGCAGGCCCAATGTCTTATTTAGTCCCTCTATAAAGGGAAGGGAATAAGCATTTACATAGCAACTAAGGTACTGTGCCAGGTACTGTGCTAAGAACTTTACAAATATTATCTCATCTGACCCTCGCAACAACCCTGAAAAGTAGGTGCTATTATCATCCCTATTTACAGTTGAAGAAATTGAGGAAAACAGGTTAAGTGACTTGCTCAGGGTCACATTGCTAGTAATTGTGTCTGAGGCTGGATCTGAACTCAGGTCTTCCTCACTCCAGGCTCAGTACTGTGCCACCTACCTGTCTACAACCCTCCTGTGACCCCTGAAGACATTCTGAAGGGATACTTGTTTCTTCTAACACTATTGCAATATAAATATTTTATCACCTATCAGTCCCCTCCAAACGCTCAAATATAAGTGTACTTAACCTTTCAAGTTTTCTCTTCAGTCTTATACTTGCATTTCAAAGTATCTATAAACATTGGTCTTTTCATCAGGAAGACTTGGAAGGATGTATATCATTAAAAGTTCCCCACTCCAACCAACCCCCACCCCCAGTATTATATTTAGTTTGTCAGTTAAATTATTCTTCTTTTTAAGCTTTTAAGTTTTCTCTTTTGGAATAACATATTCTTACAATTCCTTTCCTTTTCTATGCACTTGTACTTTTTATTTCTGGCTACTTGCAGTATATATATATATATATATATATATATATATATATATATATATATATATATTTTTTTTTTTTTTGATAACTCGATTTTGTCTGTATCATTTCTGGGAGTTTTCAGGTTGATGTTTCTTTCAAAAGAGGTCAACAGTGGATTCTTTCTATTTTCACTTTTCCTCTAGTTCTAATAGGTCTGGGCAGTTTTCACTGATGATTTCTTGAAATACTGTATCTACATTTTTTTTTTTACGGTCATAGTTTTCAGGTAGTCTGATGATTCTTAGATTAGTCTCACTTTGATTTGTTTCCACATCAGATGGTTTTGATGTGAAATACCTTATATTTTCTTATTTTTTCTTATTTTTATTTTTTTCAGACTTTGATTTTATTCACTCATTCCTTGTTGTCTCATGGAGTTACTAACTTCTAATTTCCAAGAAATCTGTTACTTGATTAAGGTTTTGTAAATTCTATACTAAATTGTTCCTTTCTTTGGCTTTCTTTGCTCTAGAGTTCTCATTTCATTTATTTATTTAATTTTCAATTCTTGCCTCATTTCTTTAAGGAATTCTGGTATAGTTTGTGGGAAAATCTGTGATTTTGCCTAAGGCTTTGTCTGTAGAAAATGAAGAGTCATTTTATTCATCTGTGTAGCAAGGTGACATGTAGATGGATCCTGTATATACCTACCATGCAAATCTTCTTCAGTATCACATTCATCTAAAGAGATCTGAGGCTGGGCCTTCACTTCCAAGTTTCTGCTTAGCCAGCTAGTTTGTTCCAGAGAAGAACCAGCTATATTTCCCACAGCTTCCAGGACTTTTTGGGTGATGTCCTGAAAAGTAATCAGTGGAAATAGAAGTGAAAAATAAGTCACTGGCAAAAAACTTTAGCGTCCAAATTAGCCAATCATGTCAGAGTAGTCATACCAATACTCTGGCAACTAAGCTGTATACTATTACTTGAAGATATTGCTTTTAGGAGTGAGGGAAGGAAGGTTGTTGGGCTCGCCATGGTGGGTCCGCTGGGTTCTCTTCCTCTTGGGAGAGAGAACCTAATCGTGTGGTTGGGAAGTGTGGGCATTGGCCGCGCTAGCCACGGGGTTCAGACTGTACTTTGGAGAAGTTGTTCCCAGTATAAACAGGTGGCCACTAATGAAGACCTGCCAGTTACAGTGGAAAATCCCTACAAGGAACCAAACAAAAAATGTATCTTGTGTGGAAAACCTGTAGATTATAAGAATGTACAGCTTTTGTCCCAGTTTGTTTCTCCATTCACTGGGTGCATTTATGGAAGACACATAACAGGCTTATGTGGGAAAAAACAGAAAGAGATTACAAAGGCTATTAAGTGGGCTCAGATAATGGGATTTATACCAGTTACTTACAAGGATCCTGCCTACCTGAAAGATCCCAAAATTTGTAACATCAAATACTGAGAATAAAGCTAGTACCAATAAAACTTATTTGAGAAGGAAAAAAAAAAGATACTGCTTTTAAAACTTCTTGGGTACTCTGGCTTTTTGTTGGTGACATACTTTTCACACATAGTACAGAAAGCAAAACTAAGTAAGTATGCAGATAGAAAGAAGGTACTACCAAATTATTTAATAATTTAGTCATGTTTTTGAGCCAAAATATACCTTAGGAGAAAATCATAACATAAAAAACTGTGGAGCAGTAAAGATGGAATACACTATTTTAAGTATCAAAAGTACCTGAAAATATAATGATAAACTATTGTCGATCTGAATTTATGACCAAGAAGTAATCAAGAATATTCAGTATATTAATAAAACATGAAGCTAACATTTACATTGCTCAATTTAACATTTTAATGGAATGTTTGGTAGAACATTTAAAGCTTAATGACTAAAAATCTTCCTCTGGAGAAAGATTTGTTTCCTTTCTTGTTTTTTTGTTTTTGTTTTTGTTTTTTTTGGCTAGGCAATGGGGTTAAGTAACTTGCCCAGGGTCACACAGCTAGTTACATGTTTGAGGCCAGACTTGAACTCAGGTCCTCCTCAATCCAGGGCCAGTGCTCCATCCACTGCGCCACCTAGCTGCCCCTTCTTTCTTGTTTACGCTACCTTTCAGAGGTGAAAAACTGGAAATAGAAATGAAAATGTTTTCTGCAAATTATTTGCAGTGTATAATTTCACTTCTCTCTGATCTAATTAGAAGCATCTGGTAGTGTAGTAGATAGGTTCTGGAGGAAGATGTGAGTTCAAATTCAGCCTTAGATACTACTTACTAGCTGTGTGATCCTGGGCAAGTCACTTAACCTGTCTGCCTCAGTTTCCTCAACTGTAAAGTGGGAATAATAATAGCAACTACCTCACAGGGTTGTTGTGATGATCAAATGGATAATATTTGTAAAAAGTACTTGGCACAGTACCTGGCACATAGTAGATGCTATTATAGATGCTTATTCCCTTTCTCTTTCCCTGCAATCTAAAATTAATATGCTGGAAGATAGAATTATCATTCCACCAAAATATTTCATAACTGATGACTGAATCCATATGAAATGTTACATCCCACCCCCAAAGGCAAATGATTTTTGTAACAACACGCTGTGGATTACCTGGGCAAAACAGTAACAAAATACTTTCCAACGAATCTACTTACTGTCATAATGAAAAGTAATGGAGAAAGTTAAAATTAAGAGGATATATTTTTCAAGATCAGTTTCTGCCCATGAGAACACTATGTTTTATGAGATACCCTGGCAATCTGCTAATGACAGCGAAAGACTTCTAGGCTAGGAGTCAGCTAAATTTTTCATTCACATACCTGCAGGTCTTTCTGATCCTTCTTGCTTTCCAGGTTAGGCGTTCTTGTCACAAAATCATTGAGCATACTATTGAAAAACAATTCACTCCAAGTCAACAACATAAGCATTTTTGCCGTATGAAATATCCCCCAGTGAGAAATACCATGGCAATTTAAATATCCTGATTTGATACCTGAGGAGCAGAAAGTATCCAGGTGGTACTAGGTTCAATTGTACAGATTCCTTTAACACTCCTAACAATGAAAGGAAGTTTTCCTGTAGAACTGAGACAGGGAGCCTATTTAAAAAAAAATCAAGATATAACAGAATTTGAGAGTTAGAAGGGATATCAGTGATCTTTTGGTCCAACCAATACACCAAAAGAATCCCCATTATTATGTAACTGACAAATGGTCTTCCGACCTCAGCTCAAAGAATTACAGGGAAGAAGCCATCATAAAGACTAAATTGGACTCTTTGCAACTTCTACCCACTGCTCCTGGTACTGCCCTCTAAGGTCAAGTAGTACAACTCTAATCCTTCTTCCATATAACAGTCTTTTAAATGCTGAAGACAGGTACTTGGTTCCCCCTGAGCTTTTTCTTCTCCAGGATAACCACTTCCAATTCCTTCAACCCATAATCATATGACATAAACTCAAGGATCATCTTGAGTTACTCTCCTCTGGACACTCTTCAGTTTATTAAAATCCTTAAATCCCAATGCTCAGAACTTTGAGAACAGTGGGATTATCATCTCCCTATTCCTGAAAGCCATGGTTCTCTTCATGTAGCCAAAGACAGCATTAGCTTTGCAGCTGCTACATCACACTACTGAGTCATTTTGTGCATGAAGTCCACTAAAGTACTGAGATCTTTTTCAAAGGTCCTGTTGCCTCACCATGCCTTCTCCATCTTGTGCAGTTACTTTTTTTCTACCCAAATGTAAGAATTTATATTTATCCCTACAGAACTTCATCTTAGATTCTGACACTGTCATACAGTGTGTTAGCAATCCTTCCCATTTTTGTGTCACCTGCAAATCTGATAAGCATGCAATCTATGCCTTTATTAAAGACACTGATAAAAACAGAACACAGCACAGGACTAAGCACAGATTCCCCAGGGCATTCTACTGGAGATTTCCTGCCAAGCTGACATTGACAACCATGATACCTCTTTGAGTTGAGCTATACAACCAGTTCTGATCCATCTAACTGTATTGAAGTCTAGTCCATAATGTTCCATCTTCTATACAATATGAGATACTTGATACATGACATTCTTTATCAAAATCTTTGCTAGACTTTAATATGATTGCACATGTATAGCCTATATCAGATTGCTTGCCATCTTGGGGAGGGAGAAAAAATTTAGAACTCAAAATCTTTTAAAGTGAATGTTGAAAATTATCTTTATATGTAATTGGAAAAAATAAAATATTATAAAGTGAAAAAAAAAAACCAAAATCTTTGCTAGAATCTGGGCAAACTTTATTTAGTAAACAAGCATGTCCCTCATCTACTAGCTTAACACTAGACAGAAGATGGTTAACAATCATGCAACAAATGGAAAGGAAAGTTTTCTTCATTTGCTTGTCCTTTACCCTCAAATACAATATGTGCAGCAACTATAAGATAGTATAGGTCAAAAATACAAGAACCTAGCTTAGCCTCTAACTAGCTGTGTTACTTAGCACAAGTCAGTTCACATTTCTGGACTTCAGTTTCTTCTTTTGTAAAATGAAGAGTTTGGATTTGATAACTGACAAGGTCTCTCCTGAATCTAAAATTCTAGTTCTGTCATGGAGACTTCCAATCCTAGTTATTATGGAAAGCTATGCAGTTCCAATCCAAAATATAGTGATAAAAGACTACAGAAGACTGGAGAGGTTATGAAGGAATTTGAAAAGCCAATCAAGTCCTTGTTTCTGCAGAAGTAATTGTGACAGATGAAGAAAAAAAGAAGGTACCATCTGTTCCAGAATCCAGTCTGAAAAGGCAAAAGGCTTTTGTGGTACTTAAGGTCAAATGCCTAAAGAAGGTGGCTATAAAAAAAAACTTTGTAAGATATAGAGGAATATTATCTACGAAATAAATTAAAGCCTGCCAAAAGGAATACTAATAGAGATACAGAAGTGAAATTTGACTGATTGGAATGGCACAAAAAGCTGGCAACTACTGTGTACCTGCTGAACCCAAATTATGTTTTGTGATCAGAATTAGAGGTATCAATAATGTTAGCTCAAAGATCTATGAAGTATTAAGACTTCTCTATCTTCACCAAATCTTCAATAGCACTTCTGTTAAGCTCAATAAGGTTTCAATTGACACACTGAGCATTGTGGCACTACACATTGCATGGGGTTACCCAATCCTGAAATCTGTGAATGACTTTAATTTACAAATGTGGTTATGGCAAGATCAAGAAATAGAGAATTACTTTGGCTGATAACACTCTTATTGTAAAATCTCTTGGTATATATGGAGTTATATATATGGAAGACTTGATCCATGACGGGTATACTGTTGGCAACCATTTCAAAGCTGCCAACAACTTTCTGTGGTTCTTCAAATCATCTTCTTCATGGAATAGAATGAAGAAAAAGTCTATACATCTTATGGAAGTAGTAACTGGAAGTAACTGGAAGACTAGACGAAAAAGCTTATTAGATAATGAACTAAAGGTCTCTACCATGATTATTTTGCTAATGGTCTATTAATAAAAATTCCTGTGATTAAAAACAAAACAAAACAAAACAAAACAAAAAGCCAAAAAAGGATTTTATATTTGATCCTGGAAGTAATAACTGGAAGTCTTTGGAGTTTATTGAATTAGAGAGAGAGGGGTGACATGGCTAAACCTGTACTTCAGGAAAATCAATTTGATAGCTGAGTGGAGGATGGATGGACTGGAGTGAGGAGAGACTTGGAAGTAGGAAGACTAGCTATAAGGAATCAGGAAAATTTCCCAAGATCTGTAAGTCAGACACTGAAGGTAGCTAGTCCAGAGAAATCTGCTGTAGCATCAGTATGTTTCATTTTAATTCAATAAATGTTTAAGTACCCACTATGTGAAAGACACTGCGTTAGGTCCTAGGGATACAACCCTATTCTCAGAAAACATGCATGCAAATAGCTATGATACAAGCTGGAAAGCACGTTGGACTTGAAGTGAGAAAAGAACTGCATTAGAATACTACTTCCAGCATTCAATAGCTATGGGACCATGGGGGTAAGTCATTTAACTTGTCTGAATTTCTGTTTTATAGTCCACAATCTCACCTGTATAAATGATGATATCATCTTACAGAATTATTAAAAAAATGAAATTGCATGAAAGTACATTGGACTATATAAATGCCATCTCTTATCATCACTATTATTAGGAGATTAGGCTAGAAAGATAGGCTGGCTTCAGACTAGGGAGAGCCTTGAATGACAGAATCAGAAGTTCATACTTTATTCTTTATTTTTTCTCCCAGCTTTGCCTTTGACTTTCTGGACTTCATCATCATGCCTCAGTTATTGTTTCCCCTGTGAACTTCACTAAGCACCTGACATCTTCTCGCCCTGGAACATCCCTTCCCCATGATAGCCTCCTTCTTCCATTGGTGAATTTGTTCTAGGACCCTCTGTTTTGGGGACTGGCCCAGATTGGCCATGCTTTATTCTC